CATGCTCTGGGCTGGGGGGACACCAGGGTGATGCTTTGGGGTGGTGCCATGGGGCCAGGAGGGAGGGTCTCTGTGGGGCTGTGGCAGAGCCTCCTTGGTGGGGCCTTTCTCTGACGGCTCCCGGCCATGGGATGCCAGGAGGTCTCTGCCCATGCCCAGATTCTGCTCCTCTCCGCAGGGCCAGGCTCCTGTGGTGGCTTACTGCAGGCTTTGTGGGGCTCCATCCAGAGCCCGGGCTACCCCAACTCCTACCCCAACGACGCCCGCTGCGTGTGGCGCATTCGGCTGCGGGACCCGGCCAGCAGAGTGGAGCTCCAGTTTTTGGATGTGCAGTGAGTCCCGGGGGGCAGGGCTGGCCGTGGGCTCAGGGGGGGCTCCGTGCCCACTGCGGGGCCTCGGCCGAGCCCTGCAGCTCTGGCCGGGCTCGTGGCTCGTGCCGGGAGGCGGCACAGCCCGCGGTGCCCACCGAGCGCCCTGTCCCTGCCAGGCTGGAAGGCGGCAGCTGCTCCTACGATGCCATCGAGGTGTTCGACGGCGGCTCCCCCGGGGGGCGGCTCCTGGGCACTGTCTGCACCAACGACTCTCGAGTCTTCACATCCTCCGGCCACCAGCTCACCATCCTGTTCCGCAGCGACTACAGCATCACCGGCAGAGGTTTCCAGGCCTACTACTCCTCATTTCTTGCCTTCAACAGCACCACAGGTAAGACCAGAGCTGCTCTCTCTCTCTTAAAGGGCTTCTGATGGCTCCTGACTCCCATGGGCCCACTGATGGGCATCGTTTCTTGGGGGCATCTTTCAGGACAGCACGGCCATGAGGCTGCTGCCAGACTCAGTTTCTTTGCCTGGTGGGCAGGGATGGGGCTTTCTCCACCTCCCCCAGTGCTGCCACTGGGCTGTCATCTGTTTTTTGGGCCTTTACTGAAGGCAGAGGAGTTACTTCGTTCTGGCACCAATTCCTGTAGAGATCAGTCTTCCTCCTCGTGGTTAACCACTTGCTTTCCCAAAATCAAGAGGGTTGATGTGCTCAGAGGCAGTGCACTGAACTCCTTTAGGCAGCTGTGTGGAGGAGCAAGTGTGGCTGCTGCTCTCTGTCTGCAGCACTGGGGACTCCAGCTCCACTCCCCCGTGTCCCTGAGCTCAGCTGGGGCTGGAGGGCTCGAGGGGTCTGGTCACCTCCTGTCCCTGGTGAGGGTCACAGAGTCCCAGGATGGCTGAGGTGGCTCTTGCTGGGTCCCCCCAGGTTACAGTGTTGACTGTGGGGTTTGGGTTTCTGTATCCCTGGATTTGCTTTGGGGAGGGATGACCCGCCCTGGGCTCCTCATCTTGGGTGAAACTTTGTGTCCTCACTTGCTGCTCTGTCCCTACAGCACCACCTGCTTCCAACTGGACAACCACCGAGACAGCATCCTCAGGTAGGTTCGGGGGACTTGTGGCAGGAGCAAATAGACCCTTGCAGATATGGTTCACATAATCACAGGCTGACTGGTGTTGGAGGGAACTTCTGGAGGTCATCTGGCCTAACCCACCTACCTGTCACCTGGAACTGGCTGCCTAAGTCCATGTCCAGATGGCTTTTGGCTGTATCCAAGCATGGAGAGCTGACCACCTCTGCAGGCAAGCTGTGCATGTGCTGAGTCAGTCTCACAGTGAACAAGGGTCTCCTGATCTTCAGGCAGAACATACAAGGAACATCTGATGTGGGGTCCCCAGACGAAAAGGCTCATGTTCACATCGTGAATGTTGGACCAGTGAGAGAAGGGTCTTCAGTGTTTGCTAGAAAATGAAAATAAAAATTGAAAGTCCTTTAGACCAGAGTAGGTGTCTTGTTCATTCTTTAGGTTAAAAGAAGTAAATATATAATTTCTTTTCTAATTTGGAATATCTTTCTCTGCCGAAGATTATTCTTGTGGTGGCCTGCTTTCC